ACTATGGTTTAACTATTAAATGTTACCGTTATTTTAAACCCAAAAACTAAGTTTAATAAAAAGATATTGAAGGCATACTTACAATGCTTGATATTAGGTCGAACGAAACAGAAAAACTAAACGTACTATGCAGAGTTGTCCATGAAAATGTATTAACTTCAAGCAGGATTGTTTTGTTCGATATGTTTCCTTATTTACATTACTCTGACGTAGTTTAAACTTCTGTTGTTGTGAACATTTAGTTCCAAAAACATGTTTTTGTAATAATGCCAAGAGTACCTAACTACAAGATACGATTGCAGAATGTATTAAGCAACTTATTACATAAAACCTTACTACATTCTGATATAGAGAACTAATTTTTGTTCACGACTCGTATTAGTTGCCCTTCCACTAGAAATACGTTGCTGAACTTGATCTCGAGCAAAATTCTTTTTAAAAATATAGTAAAAATATATACTATTGTTTATCGATATTAGATTTATAATTGGAAAGATAGTAATTAAAATAATCGTATGTCCGTATCATTAATGGAAACGGAAAGCGCTACTAATTAAAGGGGCAAGGGATGGTAGGCATTATTTAACGAATAATAGTCTAGTAGACATTTTAAATATGCCGACTAATTTTCTAAATTGCACCTATAAACTGTGTTATTGTAAAATCTATAAGCAAAACTTATTTTTATAGGTTTTGAAAAATTCTATAAAGTTACTTAAGTACTATAAACATGGATAAATACAATTTAGTTTTTAAGATGGTTATTAGGACGTATTATGCAGAGTTCCCAAGCACATTTTTAAACTTCAAGCGGGATTGTTTTGTTCGATATGTTTACTTATTCATATTACTCTGACGTAGTTTTAACTTCTGTTGTTTTGAACATTTAGTTGCCAAACATGTTTTTTTATATTAATACAAAGAGTACCTAACCACAATATATAATTGTAGAAAATATTAAACACATTTTAAAAGGAATGAAATTCAATAAACTTAACCCCAACGTTACTACTATTAGATTTTAAGTACTAGATAGTTCTGGTTTGATTACTTTTTGTAGTTCCCCTCCCCCTATGAATACATCAGGGAAAATTATTTTTAATAAGCTTCTCTCTAATAGTAGATTTATAATTAGAAAGCTAATAAATATAATTTTATGTCAGCACCATTAAGGGAAATAGAAAGCGCTATTTATTAAGGAGCAAAGGATAAGCATTAATTGACTGTAATTATTGATCTGGTAGACGTTTTAAATATGCTGATTAATTTTAAGTAGTAACATTATACATTTTTTTTTAATAAAACTTTTATATTTTTTTTCTTTGACTTATGACGAATGTTTGATAAAAAACGAAGTTCTTAAAAGTAATTTTCTGTGGTATCTATAAGAAGTATTTAAATTGTTTTTTATTATTATTATAATGTTTTTATGAACTCACAATCTTGTTTGTCGTTCCGGGTGGAATCTCGCATTTTAAATTTCGAGCACTCCCGATTAGCTATCCGGCTGAAACTTTCAGGCTAGCTCACAATTAGATGACAATGCATTTTTAATCCTCAGAGGTTGCAAATTCCACCCTTAAGGGGATTAAAATGGTTTAGATTAAAATAGGGTTAGAGGTGCCACTCAATATCTCAAAGGGTTTAATAAGAAATTAAAGTTTTGTTTTTTATACTGTTTTTACAAATGTGATCTCCAATATAAACAATTTTTTTTGTTTTTACCCCCCTCCTAACTCGTTTTTTTTATAGCAACTTTTGAAACTTTAATGGTAACGTATATATTTTATTAACTTTTTAAATTGAGAATAATGAACTTAAAATTTGACTGGTCTATAACCATTTTCGGATAACTATTTTCTAAGTTATTAAAGTTTCTTATTTAGGGCAGGAGGAATAGTGCAGTGTAGTATTATTTTAAGCTACGCGCACTTCTCCTCCTATCCTAACTTTTAAGCTTTTATAACTTTAAAAATAAGTATCCAAAACTGGTTATCAACCAGTCAACATTTTTTAAAACATTTTTTATTTGACTTTTATAAAAAAAATACATTAAGAATAATCGTAAAATGTTGTACACACCAAAATAAAGTAAGTTGGTTAAATAAATGATACAACTAAAAAAAACTTGTGTTTTCTCGTGTGTATTCAAACTTTTCGTACATTATTCTCAATTTAAAAAGTTAATAAAATATATACGTTACCATTAAAGTTTCAAAAGTTGCTATAAAAAAAACGAGTTAGGAGGGGGGTAAAAACAAAAAAATTGTTTATATTGGAGATCACATTTTGTAAAAACAGTATAAAAAAGAAAACTTTAATTTCTTATTAAACCATATAAGAAATTGAGTGGCTCATGATAAAAAAATCACCCTGTATAGAGTTAAAGGTACCGAGTGGTTATAGATCTTCAAGCAATATCATTTTGCGCTCTTTATTAAATTTATTATTTCAACATTTCTAAGAAAAAAGTATTAGTTGGGTTCGTATTTAATAATATGTATTAAATACAAATTCATCTATAGTAAATTTTCTAACATCAGGGTTATACAATGCAAGATCATTAATAGTTCAAACATTTAAATACACAAATGATAAAACAAAATAATTTTAATATTATGTATTCCACTTTATTTGTATTGCAAGTAAAGCATCTTTTACATTTATTATACAAAATAAAAAACATTTATTTATTTCATCATTTATTATTACATTTAATAGAGTATTTCAAGGATGGTATATTAAGCCTTTATAATTTACATTGTAAGAATTGGCAAACCTTAAAAAAAAGTATGTATAATTTTATAGTGACATTTTTATTGAAGCGAAATAGTTTTCTGATATGATTGTCGTAGGGTAAACTAATGAAAATTCAAGCTGTTATTTATAACAACTTTTGTTCCTTGTGGTTTAAAATATTTAAAATTTAAATGCATTGTAGAACCCTGCTGTTATAATAATTGTAACGAATACCGTTTATGTAAAATGTATTCTTTTTTTTTTTAAACACAGTTGTTTTTTTAAGCTTAAATTATGGAATTTCATTTAACAAAGAAATGTAAATCTATAAACACAATAAAATGTATTAACTATAGTAAAAGATAACCATTAATCTACAAAACAAAAATTAAAATTGTCTTAATAATATAATTGGGAGCTGTGATATTTTAGCTTTGAATTTTCCCGATTTTTTTTGATTTTTTGAATATTTTACTGTAATACATGGTTCTACATTGCAAGAATATAAATAGTTCAAACATTTAAGTACACAAATAACATAACCACATACTCTTATAACCGCCTTGCTTACGAAAAAAAAATATAATATTTCTGTAATAGTCGTTTTTGTAATGTATATTAAAGGTGTTATAATGTTACGTAGTTATTTTGTTTCAGTCCTAAATTTGTATAGCTTTATGTATTGTATGTTAAAGCATCTTGTACATTTATTTTACAAAATCAAAAACACATTTTTTGCAATTAATAGAGTATTTGCTTATAAGGATTGTACTTTAAGCTTTTATGTTTTAACATTGTAAGAATTAGCAAACCATAAAAAATATATGTAAAATTTTATAGTGTCATTTTTATTGAAGGGAAATGGCTTTCTGTATTTATAACAAATTTTGTTTTGTTGCTTTTGGCTTAAAATGTTTGAATGCATTGTAGAACTCTGTTGTTATAATAACTGTAACGAATGCCAGATTTGTACAGTTACATAAATATATGACATATCTTTATATTATACAACTTTTATAAACATAACTTAGTTGTAATGATTTTTTGTAAAACAATTTATCAAGTAAATTGTATCTTGAATCTGCATACTTTAATAAAAGTTGTAAACCAATATTGTAATATTGTTTTTTTTATCAAAACCAAACTGTTATTATCAGCGATCGTTGTAATGTAAACAAATGGTAACTCAGACTTTGTATATTATAAGAAACTTCGTATTTTACAAAAACAATTTGTGTGGTTTTTTTTTTTATCGAAAACGACTTGTTTTGCTAAACATATTTTGTTTTGCAGTTGTTTTTTTATTTAAATGATTCACCTATTTTATTTCATTCGTGGTAGAATCTCGATATTTCAAAAAATAGCAAATACCCTGTTATGCCTAATTATTATTATTTGACATAATACACTTAATAGGCATTTTAGATAAAATATTTTTTTTTTGCAGAAATGCTAACAATAATTTTTCTTTAACTAAATACAATATTTTTCCATTATTTGTATTGTTTTAAATTGCGCGGTTATTTTTTAACATGAAAACATTATGCTAGCAATATTAACATGTCATTTTTACAACGACTGTTGTGATGTTAAAAAATTCCAATACTTTTTAAGATCGTATACTTATAATTTTTAACGACTTAAAAACCTAATTTACATAATTTCAACACTAAAAAAGTAAAAAAAAACATAACGATAACTCTACAATTGGCTACATTAATATTAAAGTCATTATAACACTTAAGGACAAAAAAACTAAGTAGAGATTATTGTATAGTGAAAACAATATACAGGTATTCTAGTATTTAATATTTAAAAAAGTTAGAGCCTAAAAAAATAAACTTAAAATGCACACAATTTAAGTGCGTAAGAGAAAAGCTTCAACACCATTAGCCCCCATCTCAAGCATCCTCCCTTGTCTCTAACCATTTAAATAATAGTTTAACTTGAAGTAAGTGAAGGACTCTTGGTCCAATATTCCCCAATAATTCTGCTCTAAACGCAAGGCCCTTGTCTCTTATCATTAATTTTATAATTTAACTTGCATATTGAATATTAGTTAAAGTATCTGTTGTACTAAAACCAACGATATGTTTTCATAAAATACCGTATTTTTCTCAATAGTTGTTGCAATGTAAACAAATAATAAATATCTCTGTTGGCATTATACAGCTTAAGTTTTAGCATAATATGAGAAGCCATATTTACATTAACAACTTTTATAGGTGTATTATTGTTTTTGGTACCAAAATTTGCATAAACAATTCTGCAAAATACATATAAATTGTACTGTTTTGGGCGACAAAATATAAGCCATTCGATAAGTCGTAAAAAATCCATTGAAGCAGTCAGTATAGCTATCATTGAAATTATTTAAGTAAGTAATATACGGGACTGCTGTCTAATTTTTAGTGGCTTTATATATTTTCTAAATGTACAATGTATTAAATGTATCCGAAATAGTATTTTAAAATATAATTGCTTTAAAAAATCATTTTTTTTTTTAAATATTTACAATCTGTTGTTAATATGTACAATAAGTAAAATGGCTATTTTTTTTACAAAGCTCGAGTGAAGGGTTGAATAGTGACTACTCTTTTTTTAAATTTTTTTTTTTTTGAAAATATTTACAATCTGTTGTTAATATGTACAATAAGTAAAATGGCTATTTTTTTTTTTACAAAGCTGGATAACTTGAGTTAAGGTAGCACTCAGTGACACTACTTAGTGTGTAAAAAATTACATGAACCAGTGGTCCGATAAGTAATCTTAAAACAAATAAGAATTCGTCATGAAGTTTACTTAAGATCGGTCAGCGTACTTTATTGGTATAGTATTCCAACTGCGCATAAAACACGTTTGAACATTTTGTACAATTTCAAATTTTAAAATCAAATTTGGAAATAGTTAAAACTAAAAATTGAAAAAGTGCTTAAACCGATCACAAGTAAACTTCATGGCAAATTCATATCTGATTTTCAATTGCTTATCGGATCATTGGCTTGGTCTGTGCGATTGACAAAAAATTATGTGTTTTGGCTGAAGAAAACGGCCGGTATCCAAGGGTCTTAAAGGACTATTTATATAATTTTTTTAAAAAATTATTCTAGTAAACTTTTATACAAAAAACTTTTGTTTTTAATAATTTGTTCTCTAGATGATTATTTAGCCATTTTTTATTAGAATTATGCAAAACTCTGGTTATATTTACGCACAGCATAGTATGCACAGTACGTATCAAAGCGTTTATTTGAAAGTGATTTAACCTAGTAAACCAGTACTACCTGTAGGTACTGGTTTACTAGGTTAAATCCTTGGCTTTAGTGGTTCGTCCCGGAGGTATCCCCATACGACTGCGGACCGACTAGTAGCACTGGGTGCTAATTGAGGGCCGGAAAAGGTGTGTCCCAAGAAGAAGTGACCTGGGGTCGAGGCATAATGAATTAAAAAAGTATGGACGGAGAGGTCGAAGGTCTACAGAAATTAATTTTAGTAAAAGTGGTAAAAATAATTTTTAATAAACGCTATAAACGCTTTGATACTAATTTTCAACGTAGTTTAAATAAAACAAAACAATTTTTTTAAAAATGGTTCATGTTTTCTTGATGCTTTGCTTATGTTAGATGTTTTCATTCATTCCACACATATTGTGAATAGATATCTACATATTAAAATATTGTTTAATATTATTTTTTGCTGGTCTAATACAGTCGTTTTTACCTCAATACAGTCATACGTGTCTTTCTAATAGTACTCCCGCGTGTAATCTATAAGTTTCAAAGCGACAAACCGTATCCATATCGCCTAGACATAATTGACATATGTAGTTTTTATTGAAAACAACTATTTTTAATTAAACCATACTCTGAAACGCGTAAACGACAACAATTTTTAAAACTGTTAAACATGTATCAATAACTGTTTTCAGTATTTTCTGTAATCGTAATTTGTGGTTACGTAATCTTTGCATCTATGTAAGAAAACCATGATTTTGTACCTTCGTGTTTATTATAACAGAAGTTTAAACTACATGCCAGAGCAATGTAAATAAGTAAATATAATGATAAAGAAATAATATAGCACGGAGTTTAAACATTTACATAGGCAACTCTGCCATAAACGTTTAGAATTTATTGTAAGTATCGCTATACCTCCGTCTAATATAACACATTTTAATTTGCATTATTATTTGCAGACAAAAATGAAAATTATCTGTGCATTACTCTTCTGTGCTGTTTTAAATATTTTGGCGAATGATGAAAATGTTGATGGTGGTATGTAATTCGTTTTTACAAGTATCTATTCAAGATACTTGGTTCAAAAAAATTAAGCAAAATTAAATATTCATCTTTTTTACAGATGAGCCAAAGGATAGAAAGAAGCTCAACGCTACAAGTCAGTAAATTTTTTGTTTACAAAATACTTTTTTAAGTTTTAAGACTAACAGTTTTTATACATAATTTGTTACAGACAAACTCCTTCAAATGCATAATAATAAATGTAAGACATACTGAAAATGATTAATACTATAAATTTAAAGGTTTTGTTGTACTTGTGATTTACCTGAATATAAGGTAATTTTTATTTGCGACCTATAATCTCTGTAATTAAATGTTTCCCATTATTGGCTTTTGAGTGTATTGTATTTTTAAAAATTGATTTATACTTAAGAACTCCAGGAATTATCGTTAATGGTGAAGTCGAGGTTTGATAATAAGCTCAAATGATGCAACTTGTTTTGAGAATATTTCTCCAAAGAGTCTCCCACACGAATAATAAAATTACATTATTATTGATCTAGAATGGATATTATAGAATAATTGTGTAATGAAATTTCAACAGGGTTTATCACTAGTTAAATGGGCCACGTTTAACTCAAAATATACTTCTATTCAGAACGTTTTATACTTATGATGTCGCATAAAAATTTAATTTGATTTTTTAACTCAAACAATTATTTATTTATTTAAGATACACTTTGGGACAGATTCAAACATTTTGTTTGTGGAAATCAGCACTCAATGGGTAACTATTATTCTACAACAAAACCGATTATGCTAGTAGACGAAATGTTTTAGAAATGATACAATAATTATTGAAAAAACAATTTATCAATGCAATTATATGTGTGATTTACTCGTAAATATTAAAATTAAATCACTCAATATTTATTTGTAAATTTAACTCCCTTATTATTATTAAACGTGTATTTTCTTCGTTAACTTAATTCTTTAAATTTAAAATGGAATATGAAATTAAGTGTAATATCGTTTAAAAATATTTTTTTTGTTATCATTATTTCAGTGAAATTGAATTTTATGTTTGCAATACCTGGTAATAATAGAAAATATTTCCATTTAGTAGTTGGTTATTCACAAGTATAAAATGGTTTCGTTTTAATTTCAGAACAAGATTATGAAGGAGACACAATTAAGCGTAATTCCTATTTCATATTAATAATACATTACACACGGCTTTTACATTAGTTTTTAAATTAGGAGAAAAATCAAATACATATTAATTTTGTCATAACAATAGACATGTAGAAAAATGAATTATGTTTTTTTAATTTTAGAGCACATACTTGAGCGTGAACTGCAACAAGGACTACTCATGGAATCAGGTAATCAAAAAATTCAACATATTTTCCCAAACACTTTACAAAACTATTAATTACATTTCAATTGCTCATAAAAACATTCGATTTGAAATCATAGTCATACATTTAATATTTTTCACTTATTTTTAATGATCGTTTGATATCTTTCCGTTCATTTCTTTTACTCAAATGTGGCTAATACATATTATTTCAAGTGTTCTAAACTGAATCGATTATTATTTATGAAAGGGAATTTCTGTAAAAAGTTAAGCTTTCGGGTAATTAAAAATAACTGTGTTTCACATACAATTTTTCTTAAAAATAATTATGAAAAATATTTTTAATTTTTATGCGCTACACTTATTTTAATTTGTGAAAAAATGTTTTTAAAATGTGTTGTCTAACTGACAGTATGAGTTTAAATTGAGTGAATTTAAATATCATACGAATTCGACTTTTTTCATTCGGAAACGATCCGTCTATAGGCACAGAACATATGTATTAAAAAAATATCTAGTTATTTTCTCCGCTCCACGGAAAAACATTGAATCGTGGAAATGCTTTAGCATTACGGGTCCGTATAACCATAACGATTGTTTTATTATTAGGTATAATTAATATAAACATTGAACATTTCAGTAAGATGTTTTTATATTAAAAAAATGTAATAATGTATGTAATCATAAGCTTGTCACTCTTCGTACACCCCGCGGTAATTAATCGTAAAATTCACACTGAATAAACTAGTGTACACGATGAATGAATGAAATGAAAATGAAAAAAAAAGAATGGAAAAGTCGTAAAACTTTATCGACCGCAGCAACCATTAATTCTTCTCTTATTACTATACTTACACGTTTTACGCATAGGACACTAGTACTTTTTCTTAATAAAATAACATTCTAGCGTATAGTGTTTGGGCAAGTTTGGCTTTTTTAATAATAGCTCATTAGATTTATTTTAGCATTACGATTCCGCAAAACTACCACAGTTTCTAAAAATTTTCGTTTAGGTTCCTAATACTTTTTTCTTGTAAGTTGATATTTTAGTGCAGTGTGTTTGTACAAGTTTAGCTTTGTTGTAGTGTATTTTTCAAAAAATGTTTAACGTAATACTATGACATTTAATTTTGAAAAGGTTTTGGCACTATGAGATTCATACATTTATCGTCCGCTCCTGGCGCTGAACAATTTATAGCAAACTTAACGTATGGGTCTCTGGTACTGTGACCGGCAGCGACAGAGTGTGTTATATAGTACCCTGGTACCCATTATTATTATTCAATCACTAAATCTTTATCTTTATGTTGATGGCGCGAAATCGTAGCATCGTAAAATCGTTACTAGTAATATTCAACAAAATGTTGACTTAGTCTATGTAATCTCAGTTTTAAAGTTACCGTTATACGTAGATCTAATAAAATACTTATTTTCAATAATCGTACAATTATTTATTGCATATTTTGATGTTTTAGTTACAGGCAATATTGAATTCGAGTTTGTGATGATATTGGTAATTACGCTTTATTCCGTTATGTATTTATACTTTATTCTTAGGTTTGAATAAGAAATTACATTTTTTTTCACATTGTTTTTATACAAAGTGATCTCAATTTTTAAATTTTGTTTTTTTTTTTTACCTCCCTTGCAAACTAGTTTTTTGAGGAAGTGCGGTTGGGAAATGAGCGCAGATAAAAATAATAATACACTCCACCTTTCCTCCTGCCTTAAATTTGAAACTTCAATAACTTCATAATTTTATATTGGAGGCCATTGAAAAACGCACACAGGTGGATGTTATTTTTACGGATTTCTCCAAACCGTTTGATCGAGTAGAACATAAAATACTAATTGAAGTTCTATATAAAGCTGGATTTGGTGAGCCCATTCTATCTTGGTTCAAATCTTATTTATCTGGTATGGTCCAATGTGTTAAAGTCTTAGGATGTAAATCTAAAGCAGTCTATGTACCTTCAGGTGTTCCTCAAGGGGAGCACTTATCCCCGTTGTGGTTTTCTCTATTGGTTAATGGTCTAAAATTGGTTATCCCAGATTCTATGTTCCTTATGTTTGCTGACGATTTGAAAATCTACAGGATAATTGAGTCAGTAACTGATTGTGTTACCCTCCAGAACGAGCTTGATGTTCTTGTTTTGTGGTTCAATTCTATGTGACCAAGCTTTTATGTAGAAAAATGCCAATCCATGTCTTTTGCTAGGAATAGAAATATTATTAGCTATACATACTTGATAAATGGGTCAAGCATTAATATTGTTACTAGGTAGAAATACTTGGGTATTCTTTTTTGTCCAAATCTCGATTTTCATTACCATATAGAGGCAGTTTGTTGTCGTGCGTTAAAGATGCTTGGCTTTGTCATACGCACGTCAAAAAAATTTAAGCTCTCTAGTTCTCTAAAAGCTTAATATTGCTCTCTCGTACGACTTCTTTTAGAATATTCTTCCATTCTTTGAGACCCTTTTACGGCAGCTGACTCTTCTTGTATTGCGAGGCTCCAGAGGCGTTTCTGTTCTTCGGCGTCATTTATTTTGCAAATTCCACATCCAACGCAAGATTATAGGCCAGTGTTGAATAAACTTGGACTCTTGTTTCTAGCGGATAAAAGAGTTGAAGCTAATTTGGTGTTTTTGCACAAGCTAATTGACGGACGTGTGGATGCTCCCTCTCTCCTTTCTCTAATTAATTTTAAAGCTCCTTCTCACTTAACCTTCTTTCTACTACAGCCAATATTCTCTCATCCTCTAACGTTGTTGGCCATGCCTCACATGCATACGTTATGATAGGTCTTGCTATTACTTTGTATAGTATCATTTTCGATTTATTTGATAGTAGCTTTGAGCGCAGGCACTTAGATAGTGCTTGTAGACATCTTATGTAAAGAAGTTTTAAAAAGACACCATGTAAACGTATAATTCCAATAAAAACATATATGAACGATTTGTGTGTTTTTCGAATAATGTAGTATGCATTTTTAAATTTCGCTGTGCTTACTAAGGTTACATAATTGTCATTATAAAAGCACTTTACAAAAGTATTTATACTTTTTTAACACATTTATTGAATTTTTCAGGTAGTGATATAAAAAATGTGAAAGAACTTGGAGCTGAAAGAAAAAAAAATAAGATATAGTTTAAAATCGTTAATAGCCAATATAATACACAGTAAATAATAAACTTCTAAAAATGTATTGGTTATTCGGAGAAAATTCATATTTGGACCAACAAACATTACAGTTAACACGATACATTTATAGTTGAAATAACTACATAAATAAATCATTCAACTAATACAAACTTAGTCCAACAAATTATTTAATACTTATTTAATCGTTACAGTTTTTTATTAGGTTATATCCGTACCTCAGAGTAAAAGTGTATTAAACAAAAAATTTCAATTTTTCTGGTTTTTTGGTTCACTTAGATTGAAATTGCACGCTCTATTCAAGTACAAGAGTGTATATAGTATATATATACCTTTATGACTTTTGGCCTCTAGATGGGTCCATCTAAGCTCATTTATTTTAACTAATTAGTTAATTATTTATTAATTAGAGGTTTAGAGGTGGACGTTCAAGAAAAAATGAAAGCCACGAGTGTGAGTGAAAGTAATAGAGGAAATGTATGATGGAGCAAGTACAAGAGTGAAGAGTTTGTGTGGAGAAATAGAAGATTTTAGTGTAAGAGTAGGTGTGCATCAAAGTATAGCGTTGAGTCTTTACTTGTTCTCTTCAGTAATGGACGAGATTACGAAAGATGTACAGCGTTAGTGGGAAAAAG